CACAAAAGACAGCTTTGTACACCTACTTCCATTTGCAGGCCCTCTGCACAGCCATCTCAGATTTAAGTCAAAGAAGGATATTTGAGGATGAAATAAGTATTTTGGTTTCCTTCAAGGGTGAGAAATTAAAACATTCCTGGAAAGCAACCTAGCAATTTGTATCAAAACCCTCTACAGCCGGGCGTGGTGGCTCACGCCTGTAATCCTAGCTCTCTGGGAGGCCAAGGCGGGTGGATTGCTCGAGGTCGGGAGTTCGAAACCAGCCTGAGCAAGAGCGAGACCCCATCTCTACTATAAATAGAAAGAAACTAATTGGCCAACTAATATATATAGAAAAAATTAGCCGGGCATGGTGGCTCATGCCTGTAGTCCCAGCTACTTGGGAGGCTGAGACAGAAGGATCGCTTGAGCCCAGGAGTTTGAGGTTGCTGTGAGCTAGGCTGACGCCATGGCACTCACTCTAGCCTAGGCAACAAAGCGAGACTCTGTCTCAAAAAAAAAAAAAAAAAAAAAAAAAAAAACCCTCTACAAATATCCATTCACTTTTGACTCACTCCAATTCTAAGAATCTCTCCAAGGGAAATCATTTTAAAATATAGGCAAACATGATGAAACACATTCATTGCAATTTTCATAATATTAAAATGAATGGAGATGGCTGACATTTCCAATAAGATGAGGGTTACCTGAGTTATAGGGGAGCCCTATAATAAAATAGTAATGCCCTTACTGAAAATAAGCTTTTAGAGAATTTTTAATGTTATTAAAATAAAAGATGAAAATAGAGAATTGCATATATGGAATGAGTTCAAAAATTAATATATGTATTATATATTCATAAAAAAAGAGAAAAGGGAGAAATCGGGGGGGGAGAGAGAGGAAAAGAGGGAGGGAGGGAAGGAGAAAGAGAAGGGGAGACAGAGGAAGGAGGAAGAGAGAGAGGATGTCATAAAAGCAGTAGAGAGAGAGACTAGCTTGAGGGAAAGAAGAGAAGCTGAAAGGAGGTCTGAAATGCATAAATGGCTAATGGGTATGTAAGTTGGTTTTTGCTGCAGGACAAACAACACAAACCCTCAGCGGCAAATAGCAGACTGTGGGGGTTCAGCTCCTGGTCTGGGTCGACTCTGCCCAGGATGCAGCTCCAGACTGGGCTTTCCCAGGGCTCTTCAGCTGGAGAAACTGCACCAGGACCTCTCCCCGCCCTGAGCAGCAGCCTGGCGGCCTCCTGTCCTGCTCATGGCAACAGCAGAATCACAGAAGGCTGCTTGAGGCCCAGGCTCAGAGCTGGCCCACCGTGACTCCCACCTCATCCTAATGGCCCCAGCAAGTCAGGTGGTGCCGCCCAGCATCAAGGGGTGAGAAGAAAGCCCTCCCCACAGCAGGAGGGCCCCAGCAGTACAGGGCAAGGGCACAGGGGCCATCAGTGTGACATACGTCAGTGGGCTATGGCTGACATTATGTACTCGTTTCTATGTTTAAATACTATGTTTATTACATATCCTTACTACTAATAGCCTACACTGAGCAGGTGCTACCTTTTAAAATTAGAAAAACAAAAGTTAAGGATGGCTGGGAGCAGCAGCTCATGCCTGTGATCCTAGCACTTTAAGAGGTCGAGGTGTGAGGGTCACTTGAAGCAAAGAGTATAAGAGCAGCCTGAGCAAGAGGGAGACCTCACCTCTCCAATAAATAGAAAAATTAGCTGCGTGTGGTGCTGCACGCTTGTAGTCCCAGCTGTTTGGAAGGCTGAGGCATGAGGATCGCTTGAGCTCAGGAGTTTGAGGTTGCAGTGAGCTGTGACGATGCCACTGCAGTTTAACCAGGGCAACAGAGCAAGATTCTGTCTCAAGGAGTAATAATAATAATAAAAATTTAGGAGTTTTTTTTGTTCTGGCATATTTTTGTTTTTCATTTTCTTTTTTAATGAAAAGACGCTAGGGCTTATCTGATATAAAAGGAAAAAGGGGAAGGAATCTTTGAAACCTGTTTTTTGTCAAAAGGGCAGCCTCAGAACTCCACGCTTTTGCCTACACGCTGAAACAAGTGACCCGGCTCCTAGAGGCATAGCAGTGCTGCGGCTTTCCCTGGAATTATTTTCTCATGTACCTCAGTGTGAGGAACGACGGGGAGCAATACGGGAAGGACATTCCTCCCTTTCTCTCTTTGTGAGGACAAAGTGGCAGACATAGTGACTGTCCTGGGCAGAATGGAACAGGATGACAGGGAAGCCACTGATGTCCAGATGGGTTGTGACCATCGGAACCATTCTTTCCATGAACTGCAGTGTGATTAGTTTTCTTTCTGCCACATATGCAGACAGCCACACCAGTGCCAAGCCCCAAGTGCGGCAGAAGGGAACGGGTTATTGAAAGCCTCCTGGGAGCCAGCCACCCTACGATCCTCACGGAGGCCCTGCGACACACCTTCCTCCCCGTGTTTATCCTTCACGTGTGCACAGTGAGCCTGGGGGAGGGGAGGAAACTGCATCCAAGAGAGCGGCAAATCCCAGCATGAGCTTTTTCTTCTGCATCGTGCTGCCGGACCTCCTGAAGGAACAAACAAGGCAGAGGAAGACGTTGCCCCAAGCTCTCTTGTCCTTAAGTTGAAAGAGCTGTGGGAGTGTCAGGGAGCAGACAGGACAAACCCCATCCCCTGTGCAGAAAACTGAGTGTCTGCAGCAGGGTGACTCAGCAGGCAGCAAGACGGCAAAATGCACACGCAGCACAGACAGGTGTAAAATGTGTGTGCCAAGAGCACTGCCTGGGGACAGAACCTGCAGCGCCATAGTTGCAGCGGCTGCCCCCTCCTGTCCTTTAGCCTGCCGGTGCTATATCCCACGCGATTTCCTCGGAAGTTGCCACAAACTCCTTGCAGTCTATATGTAATCCACCAGTCACGTTGACCATTCTCATTTCTAGAATCTCTCTCTTTTTCCACAGCAATTCTGTTCTTGTCTTGTGGATTCTATTTCTCCTTTTCTCTTTCTTCACACTTAAACATGATTATGCAACAGTCATGCTCAAACTTCATTATCATCCTTGGTTCCTTGAGTGTATTTTTGTTCTGTCCACCACTCTCACATCATTGGGTTTCTTTGCAGGTTTTGTGCTTCCAACTGTGAGCCCACTTCAGGGGCATTTTCCTCTGCGCAGACTCCTCTGTGCTGCGGCTGGGCTCGTCTGGGTCCCCACTGTGCGGGGCTGCTGGTCTCCAGTCCTGCCCATAGGTTCCGGCCTCCCATGGAGTGCTCTGCTGCGCAGACTTGCGCTTTCACTTCTCACAGTGACTCTGTTCCAGCCACAGCCCCGAGCAAGAAACCTATCCAGTGACAGGGACATGTCCACAGGCCTGATTGAGGTTTTTAATCCAAATTCAGAGAAGGGACAGCTGCTTCCTTAGTCCAGACTTTTCTCAGGCAGCCTTAGATCAGTCTCCCCGACCACAAATGGTGCTCATGGCTTCAAAGCTTGCCCAAGGTGGGAATCAACTCCTCAGCCTCTAGAAGGAAGATATACATGCTACATGCCTTCACCTCCCTCCAACCCTCGCTTTGTCTCTCCAGCTCTGGCATCTGGAGAGTTCCCTTTCAAATATGGCTCTGCATTTTTTAAGATTGTATCTTCCATGTCATGTTTGGAGCAAAAGATGGGCTTTCCCTGACAGATGAACTAACCATGCAATTGGGGTTATATTAGCTCATAGGATACCCCACAGATAGCTAACATTTAATGTTCAAAAGTAAACCCATCAGCATCCACAGGGTCCTCTGAATTCCAGGATTCCTCTAACTTTCTGCTTCATAATCCTGAGCACATGACTGTTATCTGCATTGTCACTCATGGTTACAAGACACCTGCTGGAAAGGTAGGAAGGTAAAAATTGGAACTTAACAAGCTTCCCTTTTTAAAGAGGTTTTCCAGAATCTACCTCCTCTACAACTTTCTTTTACATATCATTGGCCAAAACTAGCCACATGAATATCTCTATCTTATGGAGAGTTTGAGATAAGTCATTTTTCAGCTGGACACATTGACATTCCCAAGACAATGAAGGTTCTATTCATAAGAAAGAGTGGCCTTTAGATGACCCCACAATGTAAGAAAAGCATGCTACCCTCATTTCTCAAGCATCATCTCTTGACACTTTTCCTGACAAATTATTTGCTACTGCCAAATGAAATTTTATTAATCCCCACTGCAACCCAAATATCCACTCACATAACCCTCCTCACACATAATTTCTTACCATATGTATGCCTTTCTTCATAGGTTATAAACTCCATGAAAGTTCCCTAATAGTGTCCCGTAACTGACCATTGTCTTGATACACACTGGGTTCATAATAAGTCTTTATTTACTTATGGATAAAGGATCGGTAGATAGATAGGTAGAGATGGGTGGGTGGGTGAATAAATGGATGGATATATGGATGGACAAATAGCTGAATGGGTGGATGCATAGATGGAGATATGGGTAGATGGATGGTTCAATTCATTTATGGAAGGTTAGGTGAATGTTTGGATGGAAGGATGGATAGATAGATAAATGTATGGATAAATGAATGGGTGGACAAATAGATGAATATTTTCTATACTCTCTCATATCTGTGTTTTCCCACATGCTGCTTTGCCTAAAATGCTTTTCTCCCACTCTCCACCCAGCTAACTCCTGTCCACCCTTTAAGATTCAGCTTAGACATTCCCTCTTCCAGAAAGCTCCCTCTCCCTGACCATGCTACCTGGGCTAGGTGTCTTGCTTTTTGATCCTGCAGTGCCTGGTGCATCTCTCCACAATAATCTTTACTACTTTGCTGTGCTGGGCTGTAGGTCTGGCTCCCTTTGCCTTCAGACTCTCAGCTGTCTGAGAGCAGCACCTGACTTTGAGTCTGTATGCCTTGCACTGACCTCACTGTAAATCATGGAGTAGGAACACAAGAAATTTTCAATGAAATTAGAATACAAAAAAAAAATGTAATAAAGACCACATGTTTCTTGTTTCTAGAGAAAGATATGGCAAGTGGAAGACACTTTGGATGAGCTGAATGAGGAGTTCTTCCAGCTCTCTTCTCAAGCCCTGGAGCTCCAGAAAAAGGAGGATGAGCCAGACCCACTGCCCCCAGGTGAAGGCAGAACGTCTATGGTAAGCGCAGCAGACTAGCAACTCAGCTCCTAAGGTGTCCAAGGGGTGGAACTCCTGGAGTCATAGCCCTTCCACAGAGAAGTGTTGGGACTACAAGAGGCAGCTCTGACCAGAATTTCCACCAGCCAAAGTCAGGTTCTGTGTGTTTGGTTTCATGAATGGAAGGCTAAGCCACGAAGCCTTAGAGCTGGGGCTGGAGATAGGGAAGCCCACACCATCAGATTAGGTTGAAACTCTCTAAATGAATTCACAGCCTGAAAATATGGAGGAAGGGCATGGAAAAGGAGCAATAACAATGGCTGTTGCAGATGTAGCCTAACTAACAGCACACACCTCTGGGACCAGGAGCTTTCTGTGAGATGCATCTTCCATCCAGGCTGTTCCCTGTCCTAGCTGCAGTCTCTGGAGGTGCAGACACAGGGAGGATGGAGAGGACAGGAAGATGAAAGACAGAAGTGATCATGCAGTTGTGTCTGCACTGAGCTCAATATAACTTTATTTGCTTAAAACTATAGAAAAAATAAACCAAAAAAGTCATTTTATTTGGTAAAGCTGGCAGCCAATCTCTGGGTGTTAGTTCACCAGTTTGATTGTTTTAATACTGCATAATATATTATTCATCCTGACTTGAAGTTTCTGGCACCTTTTATGTCATTTTATCTCTACTGTGTGTCTTGTCCTCACTTTGCTATTGGGTCATGTTTAATCCTGTCTTCTAGACCCTGGCCCCCTGGACTTTTGCACCCAAGCCCAGTGCCTCACTTGTTCCAGCCTCTTCCCTGAGTTGCTAAAATTAGCAAAGCACCCTGGGTGGTGGAGGGGCGTGGGTAGGCATTTCTCACATCCATCCGCCTTCCCAGGGTGGGCGTCTGGGCTGGGATGCCTTGAAACACTAGAGAATCCCCTCCTTCCCAGCCAGGGAACACCCTCTGCCACAGCGGCCCCAGGAATCAGGGCCAAGGAGGTGGCTGGGGGCAGGTTTTCTTCTCATTCTTCCACACAGCAGGGAAAGTCAGGATGCTTCTTCAGTATGGAGAGTTTCAGGAGAACATCATGGGTATCTGGGTCTCGATGTCTGAAGATCTGGAATATCAACTCTTCTTGGTCAAACTGACCTCTCTTTGTACAAAAATGATAAGAAAGGGTACCTGTCTATATAAACAACTGAGGGAACATTTCTCGTGTGAGCAAACAAGGCAGGATGGGGCCCAAGGACTGGCCATGAAAGACACAGAGGCCCTTCCCAGTGAGGTTGCGGGAACTGTGTCTCACATGGCCTTCCAGGGTCCCTGTGCCTAGAGGTGAGTCCCCTCATGAAACCCAAATGCAGATTCTGGCTTCCTATCATCTCATCGCACCAATCATTCTTGCCCTGAGCTTTATCTGGACTTTCTCCAAAGCATTTGTGCCAAGCTGAGGGGTCAGTTCCTCTGTGAACCCGCCCTCCCTCGCCCTCAGACAGGCAGCTGTAAAATTGGCTCCACAGCAGAGAGACCAGGTGCAGGAACCTGTCCTCAGCTGCACCGAGGGGTCAGAAGATCATGACTCAGTGAGGATAAAGTAACAGGTGATCATTCTTAAAAATACATTCTGTACAAATATCCCTGGTTTTAAGGAAGGGAAACATTAGGATTAGGGGAGGGATTATAAAATATGGTGAGATTTAATCATTGAATAATTGTTCCAAATTATTAAACATGACAATTCATAAGGATATAGTTGGCCACTGTTGTGCATTACTGTGGTGACATCAACTTGGTGAACACTGTGTCTTCATTAGTTAATCATGAGGTCAGTCCCTGGAGGGAGCTCATTGGCATCTTCCCAAGTTTGGGATGAATGTTAGTGCCTAGAGAGTGTCTAAATGACAAAAGTCATGGCCAGACCACGAGAGGGCTCAGGGTAGAGTGAGCTGAGAGCATTCAGGGGTCACCTGTCCATGTTGTATGTCTGTCATTCCCAGGTGGCTCCCAGCATCTCCCCTTGTGAGTGGCAGGAAGAGAGACTTCACCCACTGGAGACAAATGGCCCAGATGGAGAGAAGCTGGGAACCTGGGCCCTGAAGAGCCACCAGGCCCTGGAGCTGGAGGTGAGGAGAGTCCACCTGGCTCAGAGGATTGAAGACCTGGAGTGGGAGCTGTCCCTGCTCCTTCAGGTGGCCAACAGCAGTTCGAACATGGGAGGGAGCTGGCCCAGCGGACACAGTGGGCTAAGGGGCACTGAGTCACATCAGATGCTGCATGGTGGCCACCCCCAGGAGGTGCCTTCTGACCAAGAACATGAACGGGTTCCCCTGGTAGGAAGGAGTGGCCATCTTGGGCCCGGAGTATGTGCTGGTTTTACGACACGCTCCTACAGGGAAACACCGGGATTTCTTTCAGAGCCTGGACCTCAGCTTGTGCTAAATTCTGCCTTTAACTTTCTGGGGTGAGGGAAAATAAACTGACATGGGTTGACAAAATCAATGTGTGCTCCTATCAGAACTCGTGCCTCAGTTTTCTCCCTCAGGTGCAGGCCCTTGCTTCCCCCAGAGACTTCAGCTGGGGCACCTGGCTTGAGGGGTGAGGAGTGCTCGGGTGGGGGCCCTGAGAATGTAGGTACGGCTGTTGCCCATCCATGCCCCGCTGCCATCACGCCTCACTGCCGAGTCTCAAGGCCCCAACATGACTTGTGGGGAGTCTAGGCAGCCATGTCCCCTCCTGGCTCCAGCCAACCTCTTGGACACAGAGGAAGGTTCTGTCTGTGCCCTGGGCCTCCTGAGAACATCAAATGTCCCCAAACCGAAGGAAACTCTCTGAGAACAGCCAGAGCCAGACCAGTCAAATTGGAGTTCCCTGACCCTGGACACCCACGGCCATGCCCTCTGAGCCTTGCTCCAGCAGTTCCCGCCTCAGAAGGCCCCTCCTCCTGCTGCTGTGCCCAGGTGAGACGTGCTTCACCTCCAAGACCCAGACCAGAGGCCCCTCAATCCACAGAGCTTTTTCCCAACCCTTCCCAGATTTCTACCCCTGTGTCTCCACCACATGTCTGACTCCTACCATGGTCATCTGTGGCCTGGATGGCCCTGTCTTCCAGTCAGAGCTCCTCAAAGCAGGCTGTGTGTCTCATTCACTTTGGTGTCCCTCTCTCTCACACACACAGACACGCTCACACACAGTCATGCACACACACACTACACACACATGCACATATAGACACGAACCGACATTCAGGCATACGCATAGACACAATCACAAACAGGCATGCACACTCTAACAGACACATGCACATAGACCCTGAAAACACTGCATTGCAGGTACAGGGCAATAAGTGACCCAGGAAGGCTTAAAGAATGTAATCGACTGTAAGGACATAGCTTCTCACCAAAGAGCATGCAGTCATGTTGGGATGCCACACAAGCACACGGGAAACCATACAGAAAATGCTACAAAACCAAGTGCCAAACCCCATGGGCAAGCTAGAGTGGAAGGATGAACTTGGAGGCCAGAACCCTTAGGGACAGCTTCCAGGTGGTACTGACTGAACTGTCAGGTGGCTAGAATTTAGACTCCAGAAAGGGGCACAGAGATGATTGCACTTCAGGTTGGTTAGGTGTCTGGAGGGAGAAAAACATGCAAGGTATTGACTAAGAAGAGTTAGGGTGCATCCCTTGAGGATGAGGAAACATAGTAGAAAGTAGAGTAGGGACAGTGTCCCGAGTCTCCCTCAGCTGCTCAAGTGGTCGTCTGCGTGACCTTCACCACTTCATAAAGGCACTCTGAGTGACTGTTCTCTGACTGAAGCCACCATTGCTCTGGGGGTGTGAGAAGCTACACACAGCCCCAAAACCCGAGGCCTGGCAACGAGCTTGGACCAGGAGATCTGCCAACTTTCCACTGGCCTGTGGGGCTCAGGAAGGCTAAAATGAGAAGTGCATGGCTGTGCAGAAAGCTTGGTCTCCACTATTCAGAGAGGATCAAGGAAGTAGAAACCAGAGGGGATTTGAGTGGAAGACTCCTGATACTACCTAGACTCATAAGCTGATGGTGCCCCTGTGCCTCGAAACAGACAGTAAGAACTCTGTGCTCTCTTAGAGCAGAAACTCAACTGTAACCAGATGACCAAGGGAAGAAATGGTCCTGGCACCCAGAGTCTAGTGCACAGCTGTGTCTCCCAGGAAACAAAAGGAAAAGCACTTGGGGCATCTCCGTGTGCTGGAAACACTGCTCTCAGTGTAGGCCGAGCGAGGTGGCTCACGCCCATAATCCTAGCACTCTGGGAGGCCGAGGCGGGAGGATCACTCAAGGTCAGGAATTCGAAACCAGCCTGAGCAAAGCGAGACCCCGTCTCTACTATAAATAGAAAGAAATTAATTGACCAACTAATATATATAGAAAAAATAAGCCAGGCATGGTGGCGCATGCCTGTAGTCCCAGCTACTTGGGAGGCTAAGGCAGTAGGATTGCTTGAGTTTGAGGTTTCTGTGAGCTAGGTTGACATCACGACACTCACTCTAGCCTGGGCAACAGAGTGAGACTGTCTCAAAAAAAAAGTGTAGCATAGCCTGTCAGTTTGGAGTTTTTCATGTGTACAGGGCACAAGCAAAGACATAACTAGAAATAAATATATACACAGACATAAATGTGGAGATTTAGAAATATGTGAATACATATACAACATAAATATATGTATCAACATATAAAGTTAAAATTAAAATATAAATACTTATGCACATAACATAGAAGTGCTGCCTGCCATTCTGGTGATCTTTCTCCATAAAGGAAAAAAATATATGAATATAAATGTGTATTTTGTGTGTGTGTATATATATATATATACTTTATTATGTATATGTATATATTAAAGTTATATAAATACATTAGATAAATAATATGTATAAATAAATAAATAAACATTATCAAAAAAGACAAACAAATACACACAGACTGATACACATACAAATATATTTATACTAGTGGCATCTTTCAATTAGAATAGATGCTTTTCCTTTTAACCTCTAAGGTGGGGGCAGACAGTTTTGTCTCAGTAATGGTGAGTGAAGAAGGGCTTTCCATGGAGACTTAGAAAGACAAGGTCTGATCCCCTAGGATTCGCGGGGGGCACTGGGAGTCCTGAGGGGTAAAATGTACTGGACTGAAGGACAGCCAGGCCAGGTTGGCCACGGGGGTTTTTAAGGGGTGAGAATCATGGCCTCAGATGCTGAAGGCTGCACAGTTCTGGGTAAGCCTGTGCAGGCCTTTTCCATCTGGATCTAAGGAAACCTATCGACAGGCACGAAGAATACCTGATTGGAAATAAACTCAAATACAGGTGTCTGAGGCCTCTTGCATAAGTACATTAGGCATAGAAAATGGAAATCTGACTTGACAAATTTTCTGGACTTTCAAGTAGCTGGCAGGTCAAGGAAACCAGGTTAGGGGCCGATTGTTGGACACTGGCAGCCGAGGTGGAAGGATGATGCCAGTGGCCAAACTAGTGCCTACCTTGTGGGTCAAGGCTAGTCCATCCTGTCAGAGATAAATTTCATATGAGCAAGTTGGGAAGCTAAATGGAACCCTGAGGTCTTTTTCTGGCATGGGGCCTTGGACCAAGAGCTCTGTTAGCTTTCCAGCTGACTATTCTGTTCAAAGGCTAAAATCAGAAGAGTATGACCATGCAGGAAGTCCCCTTCTCTTCTATTCTCAGAATCTCAGGAGATAGCAACCAAAGGGGACTTAATTTAAAGACCACCTGATAATACATGATACCATATGTTTTTGGCACCCATATTCACCCCAAAACAAGTCAACTCTCTGTGCTCCCTCCTAGAGCATGAGCTGAACTTTTTCCAAATACCAAGAGAGGAAATGGCTCTGAAACTCAGCCCACACACAATTGCATTTTTCAAGTAGAGCAGAGGAGTAACACTAGGGGGCATCTCAGTGTGCTGGAAACAGTGCTCTCAAGAAAGAGTGAAGCACAGTCTATCATTTTGAAGTTTTCCCATGTATACAAGAAACAAAAAATAAATAAATAACTAGAAATAAATATATATACAGACACACAATGTGCATAGTATTAAATATGCATTAATTAAAGATGTAACATATAAATATAAGCATCAACATATAAAAATATAAATTAAAATAGATATTTATACATGCAACTTCTTAGCCCTGCCTACCACTCTTTGGTGGTCCTTTTCCATATAGGAGAGAAGTATATGTGCATATACACACACATGCACATATATATAGATAGACACATAGATATTATATGATTGTATATATGTATGCATATACATGTATAAGGAAACATACATATATATACACACACACATATTATGTAAAGAAATCAAACACATTTGTGTTTGTGTGTCCCTCTAGCCACCTAGTCTCAGCTAAAGGAGACAAAAAGGCCACAGGTATCTTTACCTGCCAGTTTCATGTGATTCATCCCTGACGGCAAACACCAGGCCTGCAACTTTAACTGATGTGCCATCATCTTCCAAGTAGGAATGCTGTCTACCTCTGAACTTCTCAATCAGGATGGGTGCTTTTCTTTTTAACACCTAAGAGGGGTGCAGATAATTATGTCTCAGAATGGGTGGGTGGAGAAAATGTTTTCCATGGAGAGATAGAAGAACAAGGTCTAAACCCCCAAGATAGGCTGGGGGGCATTGAAAGTGCAGGTGGGTAAAATGGTACTGGGCTGGAAGAACAGCAAAACCGGGTTGGTTAGAAGTGCACTGACGGCCTTTTGGCTTTTGGGTGCCTGGATATTGTACCGGAATGCTACACAGTCCAGATTAAGCCTAATTTGGCCATTTTCAGCTGGATCCAGAGAAACCAATAAATAGGCCTTAAGAACACCTGGATTGGAAATAACTTTGAACCTAGGTCCCCAAGGCTTCTTCTGTAAGTACATGGAGCATGGAAAACAGAGGTCTGGTTTGAAAAACCATTCTGGACTCCACAGCAAGTGTCAGGCAAAGAAAATCAGTACACAGGCAGACTATTGGACACTGTTATCCCAGGTGAATGGTTGATACTCGTGGCCAAAACTAGTACCTACATTGTGTGGTTAGGAGGGGACATCATAGCAGATGTAAACTGAACTTGCACAATCTGGGGGCTATCTAGCCCATTTCAGTCAGATGTTCTTGGGCCAGGAGCTCTGCTACCTTCCTGGCTGGAATTTGGGTCCCAGAGCTTGAATGAGAAGTGTATGGTCCATATAAGACACCCTTGTCTTCTATTCTTAGAGACTTGGGAGGTAGTAGGCAGAAGGGACTTGATTGGAATACCACCTGATATTATTTGATCCTATAGTCTATTGGTGTTCCTATTCACCCCAAAATAGCCAGTCAACTCTATGTGCTCTCTCCTGGAACAGGAGCTCAACATTTCCCAAACACCAAGGAAAGAAATACCATGACATTGTTTTGTCATAGTTAAAATAAAAATATAAAGATGAATCTCTAAATTTAATTTTTTATTTGGGAAAGCAGATTTGTAATTCAAGGCATACATGCAGACTGAGTGGTCTTTGGTATGTCTGAAAACAAAGAGAAGTTTGGAAGTTTTATAAAAAAACAGAAATGTTATATGTTCATTGGCACTAACAAGGTTTGGTGGATCTGGCAAGTTTTGATTAGGAAGTAATGGTAAGTGGGAAAAATTAGTCTTAGAGTTGCAGCAGGTCATTTTAAGCAATATTAGATAAGACCGTTCTCAAGTAACAAAAGTCGGTTTTAGCAGCCAGACTTACAGAGATTTGCACTGTTGAAACGTGTTATGTGTTCTCAGTGCTTTCCGCCACCACAGGCTGCTTTGTTTTAGTTGGGTGTGATAAGAATGACACAATTTTACATTTCTACCTTTTGATCAATATCTTTTTGTGAAACAATCACTGATCAATCACTTTGAACTTCGAATTAATTGTCTCTTGGTGTCAGGATGGACCTGTGCTGGTGGTCTCTGTCCCAGGTCAGGGGAAAGTATGAGGACCTGTCAGGGACCCAGGACACATTAGGGTAACAAAGAGGCCAGAAGGGAACATGTTCTCTGGGGCATAGCTGTTTGGATTCCAGCATCAAGTTCCATTTTACCAGTTGCACAGGCATCAGAAAGTATCTTGAAGCATTCAATCAAATTATGTTATGAAGAGAGTTGGATTTACAAAGATTAGGTAGGCAATAAGAACAAAGCTTAAAAATCATAATGAAATAATAAGCCCAGTTTGAGTAATAGCTTTAAACCATGAAACTGATTTTAAAGGTAATAACTAAACATATTAAAAAGTCCAGACATATCTGGTGAGAATTATTATGTGGAGTCTTGTTTCAATCTCTTAGGAAAAGCTGCTTACAGCATGGGAAATTCAACTTGTCCTGGTTTACACTTCAATGTCTCTGGCTATGGCATCAGATAGTTTGGTGAACTTTCTGTGTGGCCCATACATTACTTGCAAGACTTGTTTCTTGAAATTCATCTAGTTTCAGTTTATAGGGATTAAGGCACAGAGAAGTTTGCATTTTTGTAATTTTTTTGTAAGAAAGTTGGATGAGAAGAACCCAGAAAAATTCAGAAAATAATATACAGAGCTACAGTCGAATAATGAGTGTATTATAGCTTTTTTTTAGAAGTATAACTTTTTTCTCTATATTAATCACATAGAAACCTCAGGTTTAATAACTTCTTAAGGCTAGGAAGCCAAACCAAGGCAGACTTTAGATTTTATTTACAGTTTTAAGGATGCTGGCTCTAGCAGAAAGTGAGTTTTTATTTACTTATTATAAGTCTAGGTACCCTTGAAGTCAGGCATTGTATGCATATTTTCAAACATGATATTTTAGTCAAAGCCTTGGTAATAAACAAATCTGGAAAAACAAACGTTTCAAGTAGACAAACAAAAATGTTTTAAATAAAAGTCATAAAGACATGAGTTTATCAGTTATTCAAAGTCACGAAGTCAACATTTGTTCTGCTTAATCTCCATTAGTAGTGTCATGAATCCACCCGTTTCTTTAGTAGAGTTCTGGACATTTTTATTTAGTCCATTGTTCTTAAAGTTATCAGAAACCTGTATTTAAGAGTATTTGTTGGAGTCTGTTTTATGAATCCGACTGCGAATGAATTTTAGAGAATTCAAAACTATAACAATGACAAAAAATTAGAATAGCCATGGTTAAAAATCTGATGAAAGTTTACAGTCAATAAGGAAACTTCACTATATCTATGACATATAGTAACCAGAATTATGACTGATAATATATTAGGTTTCTATAAACTTACATGTTTATAGAAATAATATTTTTGAAACATTTATATCAACAATACCAACAAATGAAACTAAAGAAGATCTAGTACCACTTATCTTTGGGCCATGTTTCTTGTACAATTTAACCAAATAAGTCTAATCATTTAATATCCTTTTAAGATGGGAGATATATATTTTGAATCTTTCCAGGGACTCAACTGGAAATTTTCATAATTAATTCTAGGTTAAAGATGCTTAAGTTAGAATTCGATTTCAGGGAGATTTGTCAAAGATGTTAAAGGGCTGAAAACATTTGATCAAAACAAAAGCACAGAACACTATAAAATAGTAGTCATTCATTTAACAAAACTGATAATCAAAAGACTTCCAAAGCAGTAGAGAAAGTTACATGGATGTAAAAACCTTCACCAGGGAACCAGTAAACCCAGGCAAGAAAGTATGTTTATAATTTTGAAGACATTTCTAATTTTATTTTATCATTAATTTTTAAAACAATTTTTATCAAAATTTTTCTTGTCATATGAACTATAAATAATTTGATTTAATTACTAAACATTTTATGAGTGCTCATTTATTTAAATCAATCGAAATAAAACTTTTGCAGGGATTTCTTGCTGACTATACCATATTTTATTATGTAGACATTACACATGACATAATGCATGTATATATGCATTGATACATCTAAATATATATATATATATAGTGTATAAATGTTCCGGCAAGGGGTACAGCTAGTGTTACAGCTCTTATGGCAGCGCTTGACTGGGGAAAGAACCTAGCGGCACACAGAGAGTGGGAGAACAGTCTTCATTTTTCCAGCAGGCTCAGCCGACTTCTAACTTCTGACCCCCTTTCCTTGTTCTCCTTCTGTTTTTATACCCTTGGTAGGACTCAAAAAGCATCCAATCAGCAACAAGCTTTAACATCCAATCAACACCAAGCTTTAACATCCAATCAGCAACAGAGGGATTAAAAAGGTATCCAATCAAGATCGCCCAGCCTGCCCGGCTGGAGGACAGGAGCAGGTGGCCAAGCACCCACCGAGGCCCGGACAGCAGGCATTGGCACACGAGGCCAGGCCCCAGCAGCACGCGCCTGCCCTGGCCTCCAGCCAGCCCCGCGCAGCACCGGCCCGCGGGGATGCAGAGCTGTGGGGAGGCGGCAAGCAGCCCCATCCCAGCGCCAGATGGTTTTTCCCTGTCATATATATATACACACACATAAAAAAAGCTTTTAAAGTTTTCATTTTAGAATTTTAGTCATGAGATAGTAAAACATATAAACTCACCAGTTTATAAAAACCAGTTGGATCTAAAACATTTTTCTGACAAAATAGGATAAGGTTAATATTTTTTTAAGTAGGCCATCTTATAAAGGCTGTGAATCAAATTTTGGGTAAAGCAGTTTGACTCAGTTATCAGTATACTAAGTTGTACAAAGAACAGTTAACTGTGAAAATGTGACTGAAATATATGAGAAGGCTGAAAACATAAGAGTTCTTCTAACAACAAAAAGACCAATATTATTTACAGACAGGATCAGGTTGGAACCTGTGACTTCCCAGCCTGGAGTTTGCTATACTCCTTCTTTCTCATTGGCACTTCCACATCTCCAGTTTCTGTTACAGCCCGACCAGCTTCATTGCCTGCTGCTCAAGAGGAGGCCAACACACTGAGACAGCAGGGCTTACAGCAGAGAAAGAGTTTTATTATCACATGCGCCATGCGACGAGAGGGGAGTCATTTCTCAAATCCATCTTCCACAAGAATTTGAGAGAAAGGGATTTTAAAGGTAGTTTGGTGAGCATAAGGCTAGGGAATGGGGTCTGCTGATTGGTGAGGGAGGAGCTCGTAGGTTTGGAATGCAGAAATTATCTTCTCAGTCAGTAGGTTTTCTGGGCAGGGGCTTTTGAGGCTGTTGTATCCATTCCCACATCTATCCACGGGCCTGGTTGGTGTCAGTAGGTCTCCGGGATACAGAGTCTGAAAAACACCTCAAAGACCAGTCTTAAGATTTAAACAGGAATGGACTCCAAAGTCTTGGGATTTACAATAGCAATTTTATCTATAGAAGTAGCAGAGGGAGTCACATATCTTGTGCCTGCCCGGGAGGATAGTGCAGTTGAATAGTAACCAGTTACAGCAGCAAGGAAGTTAGGGAACAGTGGCTGGTTGATTTCTGGCTATATCCATACTGCTATAAACATAAGACTTGTAATACTATTTATACTTTGTAGCTTTACATTATTTTAATATGGACAGTTTCATCTTCATGTGTTCCTGCCAGACTGTGAGAACAAAAGACGTTGTGAAATATTTGACACAAAAGGCCTTTGGTCCAGTTCTGGCAGTTACAGGGCTTGGTTTTGTCACCAAACCAAGTCAAGTAAGTCCAGACTTTCGGTCTGTCCATATGTAATCATTAGTGTCTGGCAACTTAACAAGGGGAGCAAGCGAGCTACCCCAGGTTGCAGAGGCCTGGCTTGTGAGCCGTCCATAACATCTGATTATTTAACAAGCGTTGACATCTTGAGGGTTAGTGTCAGCCTCATCTAAGAGGTGCAAGAATGCCATCTGTGGGGTTTGATTGCAATATTGCCCTAGAATGTCACCCAGAAGAGAGAAAAATATTCTTTCTAGTGACTTTACCTGAGTACAAGACACTTTTTCTGTGTTCATTTAACTCACCAACAGGAGAAGTACCATAATATGTTTTCTTTGGTTGTGGATGCCACTGCTTGTCACATGTCCATCTTCAGACCAGTCCCACCTGGCACTCACGTTGGCAGAAACGAAAACGAGTTCGGGTTCCTTTGTATGATCTACATGTTGGCATAACTAGCAATTAGATTGATCAGTTAGTGTGGCCAGGGTTTGAAAGACTGGTGCAAAGGGATGCTGGGTCTGTGTCTGACCTTCTGGAAAAACAGTAAGAGTTTAGTAAGAGTGAGTCATAGTTTGAAAGAAAAGTCATAGTGGAAGATTAAAAGGGAAATTGGGAAAGGTTGAGGCAATCTCCACTCAGCTTCCAACGTGCAATCCTCCAACGGGGAGGATTAAAAGAAAAAGTGTTTATAAAGGACCCTTTTGTGGGGAGGGGATAAAAAGAAATAAAACAGAAGAGTTTTTAGATAAAAACTGTGGTTTCTTGATCCAAGATCTTGGGACAAATCTGTCTACTTTGTGAAGATGTCTGCTTCAGGGGCCCGGGAACCAGCCTTGGAAATCCTTACTTTCAGGGCACCTGTAGGGGTGGGCTTCCAACTCTCTCAGAGTAATTTGGTGTAGCTTGCATGAACCCAGGAAATTTTTTCTTTTATTTTGATGGCAGTGTAGGTGGTTAACAGTACTTCATAGGGGCCTTCCCAGAGAGATGACAGCACATGTCTTTCTCTAAAAATTTTCATATATACACCATCTCTTGGTCAAAAAGGATGGCAAAGCCTGTGAGTTGGTGGAAGCCATGCACCTTTCACCTGTTGATGACATGCTTCAAGCATATTAGTTAGTGTGTGTATCTAGCGTGTTCACTTAAATCCCAGCAGTCTCCAGACACCCTGGCAATAGAAGATCACCTGCCTCCAGAGGCATCTTTGGAGTCTGTGTAAATAGTGGCAACATTTCCTTTTACCAGTGTGTAATCTCTAATGAGGGCTATACCAAAACTGACTCAAGGAATTTTGGGGTGAGCTTTTGAGTGCCCTGAAATATGTTATGTTCTGAGTAAGTAACAGTTGTCTGTACCCTCTGGAGTTTGCACCTAGAGGCTTTATGGCCTCACTCAGTTAGTCTTCCAAAGAATAAGGAGGTCTAAGAGGACACCCGGTTTACAGAGTAAAACATCGTCTATATACTGAACAAGTACTGAAAAAAAGTGGATCCCCGAGTAAACATTAAAGTACAAATCAGCTGTGAAAATTTGAGAGAATATTTAAGGACATTTGCAGTATCTCTGTGCATTCAGGTCCATGTTAATATTCTCCCTGTGAAGGTGAATGTAACAGAAATTGTGAAGCACAGTGAAACAGAATTTTAAAAAAAAGCGGAGCAGAGGTCAATTATTGTACTATTAAAGTCAGATACACTAAAAAGGCATTTAAATCTGTTTCTATTTTTTTGATAAAATATTTGATATAGTAATTATTTCTAAGATAATCAATTAGAATACCATTGTATATATTGGTAGCAAAATATAATAAACACATAACATATATAGACACAAAGAAATTTAGATATAAAAACAGAAGCAGATCTAATACCTCTTATGAAAAATTATTCTTTGATGTATCTTAAAATTATTATATTTCAATCTGACTATAAATCTTAGCCTATTTTACTGTTTTAAGCAATTACTAGCTAGGCAACAATTAGCTGTTAGTAAATTTTTGCAATTTCTGTAACTGTTTGCTGAGACAAAGACCTAAAAGACAAGACTTATACATGCATAGGTAGGTGAAGTAGAGTACTTAGTATAAATTAAGGATCCTATTTTTAACTGCATCTTGGCTTTGGCTCTCAGATCTCCTAGAGAAATTTAAGACATTATTTCTCAATAAAAACCACACAGGAAAAAGAAACAAAGGAATAGAACACAGAAAGATCTGTGAATTATTGAACACTTGAGTAGCATGGATTGTAGCATATCCATTTACTGCTACTATCTTCATGACCAAAGCAGATATTTCATTCCTCTAATAAGATTTAATTAGTTTAATTAGTTAATTAGTTTAATTAGTTATCAGATATATTCTAATTAAAAACTCTATTTGCCTCAAATTCACAGGGTTATCTTCCAATTATTCCTTACAAGAAGCAACTGGACTGTAGTCTGGGGGTCAGTGTAGTGGATCAGAGTGTGATCATTATGGGTAGGACTGCACACGATTCGAAAGCACTTCCACTTTCACTTCACCATTCACACTTTTCTTGATTAAATAAGCCAACTTATTCACCAAAGTTTACTAAATTCACAGGAAATACAGATGAATTTGGCTTCCTTTTAAGGAAGTTCGGAGTGCTAATTGACTTATAAGCCAGTCCAGTACCATGCAGACATGACACATAATGCCTGGACATCCACAAAAAAAAACTAAACACAGGCACACACATGACCCCACACAAGTGGGTATGCCCACACACAACACATACACAAACACACATACACACACACAGGCAAACACACACAAAGTTCCAATGCCTTTCACCTCACAACTCTAGCCCTGAGCTTCTGATAGGAACTCCCTGGTTTACAAGAGATCACTGGACCCGAACTGCCTCTGACAAAACTGGTCTCTTTTCTATGTCTGAACTTTAGTTGAGCTGAGACCTAACCTAATTAAGCCTATGGATCAAAGTGTTGGATCACACAGTTTGGTGGCAGTTTGATTTTGAAAAGCCCCTTTTATACTTTTTTTTTTCTATTCTTTAACAGAAAAAGAGTGTTCAATCTTTGTGTTTTAGCTTGAACTGGTTGTAAGGTTTCCAAGTGGCTTTCCATTACAAATAGCGTAAACTTTGAGCCTATCTCAAGAGCAGTAGGAAAAGTTAGCAGGTCCAGGGTTGGCAGAAGAGAGAACAGAGAGACAGAGAGCTTGAGAGACTGCACATTTTCAATTCCTAGTGGCAGGTTGACCACTTGAGCTCTGGATTTTCCTGAATGAAATTTGCCCTTCAGTTCACACGTGTGCACGACAATTGGCCATAACCAGCTGCAGTCCTAGCACACCAGGCACGCCTTTCCTTCTTTCTTTTTTTATTTTTTTGAGACAGAGTCTCAGAGTCTCACTCTGTTGCCCTGGCTAGAGTGCCGTGGCGTCAACCTAGCTCACACCATCCTCAATCTCCTGGTCTCAGGTGATCCTTCTGCCTCAGCCCCCCAAGTAGCTGGGACTACAGGCATGTGACACCATGCCTGGCTAATTTTTTCTATATATTTTTAGTTGGCCAATTAATTTATTTCTATTTTTAGTAGAGATGGGGTCTTGCTCTTGCTCAGGCTGGTTTCGAACTCCTGACCTTGAGCAATCCTCCCGCCTTGGCCTCCTAGAGTGCTAGGATTACAGGTGTGGGCCACCACACCCGGCCCAGGCACGCCTTTCAATCTTTCTCTTTACACACAGACTTGGGAGTTATAGGTGCCATAAACCAACCGGGGTGCCCAGATGGGATCGTTCTCCTTGTCTTTCCTCACAGAGGATTGTTTTCCCATTTTTCTTTACAAGAAGCAACCGAACTGTGGTCCAGGGGTCAGTGTCGTGGATCAGAGTGTGCTGATTGTGGGCAGGACGGCACAGGGTTTCACCATTGAGTCGTTTCCCGCCTCTCACGTGTGTCTCAGGTTCTCTCTCCAGGGGTCTAACACCTCCGAGAGGGCTCAAAACGCCGAGTGATCAGCTCTTATGTGCGTTTCCTGGATGAGCCTTCTTTTAATTAATTTTGTTGGGGATTCCCTATGGGGCCACGTCACTCCATGGGCAGTCACCCAGGCAGTCCCGCTTGCACCCGCAGTCACCCAGGCGAGCCTTTGGCTGGGACGAGTAAAATGCCCTTTGTCTTCGGAGCTGAGGAACTCAGTCTCTCATTTATCTACAAACAGGACAGTTCGGTTTCTCCTTTCATTTCACAAATGCTCAGAAAAGCCAATTCAGAGAAATCTGGGAGGAAGAGGCGATGAATGGAGAAGACCCTTTAGAGTGCACCTCCAAGTCAAAATTCGGAGCCCTCAATATAACTTCCTAGAGAAAGTATCGACAGCTGACAATAAGCCAGGACCGTCAACCAAGATCCCGAGGGCCGCTGGCTCAGGAGAACTAAGCAGTTCAGCCCCCGTGGAAGCTTGTGGCAGTCGGGGCGCCCAAGGGGGCCATGCCGGCGCTCAGGAAATTTAGCCATTATCATGAGACTGACAAGACTCAATTTCCATAACTTATCGGAAACGATACAGGCACAGACCATTTTACTTTTGGCTGGGTTTGCTGTTGTATGACTTTGGTGTCAACACTGACACTCTAAAGATCCAGGATCATAGGCAAAACTGGATGCCAACAATTTCAAAGCATTTCCACTTTCACTTTGCCATTCACACTTTTCTTGTTTTAATAAGCCAATTTATTCACCAAAGTTTACTAAATTCACTGGAAATACAGAGGAATTTGGCTTCCTTTTAAAGAAGTTAGCAGTGCTAATTGACTTATAAGCCAGTCCGGTACCATGCAGACGCGACACATAATGCCTGGACACCCACAAAAGAAACCTAAACACAGGCACACACATGACCCCACACAAGCGTGTGCGCCCACACACAAACACACACACACACACATACACACACACAGGCAACACACACAAAGTTCCAGTGCCTTTCACCTCACAACTCTAGCCCTGAGCTTCTGATAGGAACTCCCTGGTTTACAAGAGATCCGAACTGCTTCTGACAAAACTGTTCTCTTTCGTACTTCTGAACTTTAGTTGCCCTGAGGCTAACCTAATTAAGCCTGTGGACCAAAGTGTTGGATCAAACAGTTTAGTGGCAGTCTTATTTTTAAAAGCCCCTTTTATACTTTTTTTCCCTATTTTTTAATGGGAAAAAGACTGTTCAATGTTTGTGTTTTAGCTTGAAATGGCTGTAAGATCTCCAAATACCTTTGAATTACAAACAGTGTAAACTTGGAGTCTATCTCAAGAGCAGTAGGAAAAGTTAGCAGGTTCAGGGTTGGCAGAATAGAGAACCGAGAGACAGAGAGCTTGAGAGACTGCACATTTTCAATTCCTAGTGGCAGGCTGACCACTTGAGCTCTGGATTTTCCCGAATGAAATTTGCCTTTCAGTTCACACGTGTGCATGAGAATTGGCCATCGCCAGCTGCAGTCCTAGCACACCAGGCACGCCTTTCAATCTTTCCCTGTATGCACAGACTTTGGAGAGGTGCCATAAACCAACCGGGGTGCCCAGATGGGATCGTTCTCCTTGTCTTTCCTCACAGTTAGAGGATTGTTTCCCATTTTTCTTTACAAGAAGCAACCGAACTGTGGTCTAGGGGTCAGTGTCGTGGATCAGAGTGTGCTGATTGTGGGCAGGACGGCACAGGGCTTCACCGCTGAGTCGTTTCCCGCCTCTCACGTGTGTCTCAGGTTCTCTCTCCAGGGGTCTAACACCTCCGAGAGGGCTCAAAACGCCGAGTGATCAGCTCTTATGTGCGTTTCCTGGATGAGCCTTCTTTTAATTAATTTTGTTGGAGATTCCCTATGGGGCCACGTCACTCCATGGGCAGTCACCCAGGCAGTCCCACTTGCACCCGCAGTCACCCAGGTGAGCCTTTGGCTGGGACGAGTAAAATGCCCTTTGTCTTCGGAGCTGAGGAACTCAGTCTCTCATTTATCTACAAACAGGACAGTTCGGTTTCTCCTTTCATTTCACAAATGCTCAGAAAAGCCAATTCAGAGAAATTTGGGGAGGAAGAGGCGATGAATGGAGAAGACCCGTTAGAGTGCACCTCCAAGTCAAAATTAGGACCCCTGAAAACAACTTCCTTCAAAAAGATTCAACAGCTCAGAATAAACCAGGACCATCAACCAACATCATGACGTCCGGGGACTCAAGAGGACTTACCAGTGCAGCCCAAGGGAAAGCTCGGAGTGGGGTGGCTCAAGGGGGCCTTGCTGCTACCTGGCACTCACGTTGGGCTACTCCTTCCAGGAATCCTGAGTCGTCTTTGAACCCCAGGTGTGAGCACCATCTTGTCAAAAGGAAAGAACCAAATGCTTTAAAATAATTAAGGAGGTTTATTCTGATCTGAATATGTGTGACTGACTCACCTGGAGCACATGGCCTCAGGAGGTCCGAGAATATGTGCCCAGACTACTGTGGTACAGTTGGTTGTATAAGTCCATGCAGGTCGGAATTCCAAATAAGTCCCTAAGTCAGTATGTGGAGGGCGTGTATTTGTTTTGCCTGAGTGGCAGGACATCTTAAAGTGTGTTCTTATATGTTATATGTGCACTTAAAGATTCTTTTACTTCTAACTGGTTGAAGAATGAAGCTTCCTCTTAAGGCTTGGAATTTTTTAACTTAAGAAATCTGTTCATCAGAGACAAGCCATTGGATGTTTACTGAAACTCAAATGATCTCTTATGTACATTGAAGGCCTATAGGTTTGTTTTAAGCTTTGCCTTCTATAGCCTTAGGTCTGTTAATGATTTGGCGTCTCACTGTTATAAAGTATAATGTCTCCCAAAAGACAGAGGTGTATCAGGATGCAGGTCTGACCTACCTTTTCATAGCCAGTATCCGAGCCTTAAGGTCTTTCAGCAGTCCCCTTTGCCAAAAAGGCGTCCATTCCATCACAGCTTGCGGGCTTAAGATTTTATTTTAGTTCATGCAAACATGATTGTAGAGTCTTCTTCTACTTGTCTTGATCCACCACCATCCTTGTGCGGCCTCTTGCGAAGCTGGTGCTCTGTGAAATTGTTTACATTCAGCAGAAAAATATTATCACCTTGCTACAAATACCTGGTCTACCCCTAGCAACACCAAATCCTAACAGTGCTAGGTGAGTTTCCAAATATTAGAGGTTGCATCTCTCTTTCTTAGTGCCTCCTTTAGGCCAAGGCCAAAGTCAGGTTTCTGGATGTAAATCAATGACCTCTACGATTTCTGTGATGTTGCTAATGAGCTGCTTGTCTAGGGAGCATGGCCTATAGAAACGTTAGGCTTTTAATTCACCATCTTATAATAGGACAGCTTTTGTTTCTAAAGCATTTCATAGTGAACTAGCCTAAAAGCATACCTAGCATAATAAAAAATATTCTTTCTTTATCTTTTGGCAATTGATATATCTGGATGATGGCAATTAATGTAATCATCAGGAATTATTTTATTTCTGCGAGAAGCTTATATTTCAAGGCCTGATTTAAGTTTATGATAGCATACTTGGCTTCATAATTTTTAGTTTCTTGAAGTATTAGCCACATAAAGCCACATTAAAATCATGGTTGTTTTGTCTATAAGGTTTAAATTATTGGGAATAGTTCCCAAAATGCTGGCAAGTAATTGTTGGGTTCTTTCTTCAGGTGAAGGACGAAGGGTGGCTGGGTTCAAAGTGATGCAACAATGGATAGAGACCTCTAAAAGGAGAGCAGGAACATTTCATAGGATGTCAGGTGACTGTCAGTAGAAGAGTCTGTGTCGGATAGGAACAGTAAGTGTAGTGGAAACTCTAGAACTAAATCAATGGAAGTTTTCATACATTTTTCTGTTGCTGTTATAGATCCCAAACAAGGTGGATATGGCTTGGTCACTAGATCTAACAAAATACTGAAATAAGCAGGAGGTCTCTGATGATTCCCACATACCTGAGTCAGCACTTGATCAGAATTTTCATGAACAAAAAGTAAAAAAGGATTTGTGAGCCTAGAACCCTAGACAAAATCTGATAGTTTATATTTCAGTATTTATGTTTAAATAGGAGCATGCTTCTTTTAACTTGAAAAGTACACAGTTATTAAAACATACTTCTATTAATACCTTTTACTAATATATAATTAACCTAAGATCAACTGTCTTTTGGATTTGCCAGGTTTGGAGCATTTTAGTTTTTGCACAGAGGGAAGTAAAACTTACTTTTTTGTGTTTTTAAATACCAAGATTGAAGGACAATGGCTCTCATAAGAGTTGTGAATTATTTAAAACCTGAAGAGTTTTAACAAATCTAATTATTCCTATTTTCCTTTATTTTGCAGAGAAAAATTACTGTTCTGAATTTTTAAAGGGTAAACCAAAAAATAGTATTACAGAAACACGATATAAATCATAACTAATGTCAGAAATAATTTTAGACATTTTAAAAACACTGTAAATAACAATTGTAATCAAAAATAAATTATGAAAAGCAAACAAGATTTTTTTAAAAAAAACTGATTTAAGAGTGTAAAAAACAATAACCAAAATTGAACAGAATTACAAGAAACTTCCACATAAGCATAAAATAGCCCCGTCATTTTAAATAAAAGGGTCACTCATTTTGTTTCTGCTTTATAACTATTTATATAATAATATGGAGGAAAAGACTTATATATTTAGACATACACATATATATAAATATAAAAATCGGTAATAATTAAAATTCTCTATAGCTTTAACAAATAATCAACTAATCAGTATATTAAATAATACATATATATCATATTAAATTTGTCCTATGGATAAACTATTAATTGCTTAAATAAGAAGGAAATCATATCTAATTTCTTATGTACATATTTTTATTTCTCTAATTATCATATATAATTATTTAAATCAAATGTCTTCATATTAATTATAAAATATGTTATATATCATAAAACATTATAATTTATATATTATAAATGCAATTATATAATATTTACATTAAATATCATCTTTAATCAAAATATCTTTCTCCAGACACAAAAAAGAACTTGAGAATTAAAAAAGAAGAATTATTTTACTATTTTTTCTCCATCAACACATATTAACAATTGCAATAGATATATACATATTCACATACATATATACACACATACATATTTATTTCAATTGTATAATTTTGAATATACTGTATATATATATATATATATATGTATATATATTCTCTGAGGACAACTGGAGCATATATATTTTATCCTTAATCTATTGCCATTCAAAAATAACAAGAATAGATATTATCATTATTTATAAGTGTTTTGTGTCTGTTTTTTATTAAGAAACTTTCCAGGCTTTCAAAACTTATTAATTAACTGAATGATTTATCTAAGATCTTAAAGGTAAATAAGGACAGGGAAATTATAATTTAGTTAATACATTAAATCCTCATGATTTGTAGCTTGTAAAAATATTACAAAATTAAAACCTTTAAAATGGCATCCATTATTATCATTTCATTTAGTTCAATATAAGTTTATACATATAATTTTGTGGTTCAAGCAGTTATGAGATCAGTGGTATTTTACTTATAAAACCAATATAGAAAATTTATAAAATTTAAGTCATAGAAATTTTACCCTCTTATTAAACAAACAAAAATATTGTTCCTAACATTATGTTCACATGGTAAGCTGATTTTTAAACATGAAATCATATCATAAACTAAACTCTTTTGATGTTGAACCCAAAGCCATTACTTCTTAGCTCCTAACTATAGTAACAGAAGCTTACTATGTAAATAAGCTTTTAAATGTCTACCGAAAGAAACACCACTTAATAACTTTTTTCTTCTTTCTTTTCACGTTTACAGCTTAATTGAGGTATAATAAGCATACCAAAAAATTTTACACTGAAGTGTAAAATTCAAATTGTTTTGGTAAATTTATACTTATGCAAGCATCACCACAATCCAATTTTAGTACATTTCCATCACCTGCAAAAAATTCCTTCACAATCATTTGCAGGTAATCCCCTCTCCCACCCCAAACCTTGGACAAATACTGACCTGCTTTGTCTCTATAAACTTACTTTCCTAGACATTTTATATAAATGCAATCACACAATATGTAGACCGTTGTGGTCTGACTTCTTTCACTTAGCATGTTTAAGTTTCATCCATATTTTAGTTCTTATCAGTAGTGTGTTTTTAATTACTGAATTATATTCCATAGTATGTGTATACCACATTTATTTAATCATCTGTCAATTGATGGATTTGTGGATTGCTTCCAGCTTGAGCCCTTATGAAAAACACTGCTAGAAACATTCACGTTCGTGTCTTTCTATGAACATTTTCGTTTCTCTTTAACAGATTCCCACAATTGGACTTACGAGGTTGTGTGTTAAGTTTAAGAATTTGCCAAACTGATTTCTAAGGTAGCTGTTCCTTTTTACATTCCCACCTACAACATGTGGGGATTCCAGTTTCTCTGTATTCTCATCAACACTTGATATTTTCTGTGTTACTGTGGTCATTTTAGTTGGTATGTAATAGTATATCATTATGGTTTTAATCTGAACTTCTCTAATGGTCAATGATGTTGAGTATTATCATAATATGCTCATCATTCATAGGCCCATTAGCCATTCTTATATCTTCTTTGGTGAAATGTCTATGCAAGTCTTTTGAACATTTTTTAGTTGTATTTTTATTGTTGAATTTTACATGTTTTTTATATATTCTGGATTCAAGTCTATCATAAGATATATCATTTGTGATTTATTCTTCCAGTGTGTGGCTTATGCTTTAGTTTTCTTAATGGTGTCTTTTGAGGTGCAAGATTTTATAATTTTTATAAACTCCATTTTAATTTTTTCTTTTATGGACTATGCTTTTGATGTTGTCTCTAAGAACATTTTTCACAATACAAGGTAATGTGTAGGGAACTGACATATATTTTCCTAGTTTAAGAATTAAAGTTAGTGAGTAATGTACCTGTTCTGCCCAGAGTGTTTGAAAGTAATCTGTTCCAGATAAGGTCCTTGTGATAAACAAGGTTGTTGCCTAGAGGCATAACAAAGGACCTGAGTTGCAAGTAAGCAATAGCTACCCCACCCCACAGCATTGGGGGTCTGGAGGCCACACGATAAACACATTGTTCCTGTGATTGCTGTGTACACCCCATGAGATGGCTGGTTAGTCAATGACGGGTAATACTACTCAAGGGAGGTGCGACCTAAGCCAGGCACAGCTGCCCGGGTTCAGCCGAAGATCTTATGGGTCACCCTAAGAGAAGCTGGGGATGAGAAATGCCCCCTGTGGCTCACCTTGCCCATCCTTGCTAATCTCTGTCCTTTATCTATGCCTAGTGCCTAGAGCAACCACCTTGAAATTCTGAGTCGGGATATCTGCTTCCCTAAGGCTACGCATTCTGGAATTTATGGCTATCGCTGCCACACCTGGGTGGTTGCGTACACGGAACTAACTTTAACCTTTTAGAGTATAAAAGCAAAACTGACCCACTGTATTATTACTTGAGTCAACCGTCTGTACGTGTGTCCACGTTTTTCTTTGTGTTCTGCATTTGTGTTTTGTGTTCTGTGTTCATCCTCCATCCTGTAAACAGGCCACAACAGTAATGCATATTTTTCCCTATTTCTTATTGAAATTGTAAAGTGCTGACTCTTACATTTGGATTTATAATCCATTTTCAATTAACTTTTGTGTGCTGTGTGAAGTAATAATGCTTTTTTGGCATATGGATATTCAATTGTCCCAGCACTATTTGTTAAAAGACTGTATACCTTTGTCAAAAATCATCTGACCATAAATTTAAACATTTTTTAAGGACTCTCAAATAATTTTCATTCCTCTATATACCTGGCCTTGTGGCAACACCATGATGTCTCGATTATTGGAGCTTTACAGTAAGTTTTGAAAACAGGTACGTAAGTCTTTCAACTTCATTCTTTTATAAAAATATTTTTATAAAAATTTTGTCTTCATTATTTTATAAAAAATTGTCTTCATTATTTTAAGTCCTTTCCATTTCCATATAAATTTTCAAATCAACTTGTCTATTCCAATAAAAATGTCTACTGGGATATTTATAGCATTTGCTTTTAAATTTACAGTATAATTTTGAGAGAATTATGATCTTGACAATACTGAATTTCTAATCAATGAATACAAAATGCTTTTCCACTTATTCATATCTTCTAAATTTCTCTCAGCAATGTTTTATAATTTTCAGTGTACAGGCTTTACAAATATTTTGCTAAATTTATCCCTATTTTATTCTTTTTCATAATATTTTAAAAGAAACTTTTATTTAATTTTGTTTATTGCTAGTATATAGAAACACAATTGGTTTTTGTAGTTTGATCTTGTATCCTACAGAGTTGTTAAGCTCATTTATACCTTAAAAAAATCATCTGACCATAAATTTAAGCAGAAGCTGAAAAATAAATGTCATATGTTTTCATAAGTGGAAACTATGGCTACACAAAGGAACACAGGATGGTATAATGGAGACTCAAAAGGAGGGTGAGGGATAAAAATTACTTGTGTGGTACAATATACACTATTCAGGTGATGGGTACAAAAGCCCAGACTTCACTGTATCATATATACATGTAAGAGAATTCAACCTGTACCCAATTCTATCAAAATAAAATAAAAATAAATAAAATTTTACCATTAAATAAATATATAGATAAATAAATGGGCTACATGGGGGTGGGAATCTTCTATCAAGTGAGTTCATGCTTGGCATTTGCGGGAAAAACCTGATGTCAGAGGCATCGATGTGAAAAACATCACTCCTCCCTCCAGAAGAATTCAGGCTGCTGGGAGCTACAGATGTGGCCCAAAGAGGGCTCAGCTCTGAGTGTGTTCATTTACTGAGCACTTTTGATGACTCGCTAGGACTAGATGTAGGCCTTACCTCAGATATAAGCCCAACCCTTCCATTTCCAGAAGAGGAAGACCTCACAAGCGGGGACATCACTGAGAGATAGTAGAAAACTTCCCAATTTCATTGTGAGGAACAAAGAGCACCCGTCCACCCCCGCCCCCATTTGGGCGGTCTCTCTGTGAAAGCATTTGGTGAGTGTCTCTGGAGTTGGCCGTCCAAGCTGAGCTATCTGACGGCGTATTTGCTAAGGGCCTCTCTCGGGTGGCCACTTCCGTCCCCACCACGCGAATTCTCCTTCCGCAGCCCAGGCCGCGGTGGAAACGGCGCGGGCTTTCTTACTAGGAAAAACGGCCTCGCTGTGAAACCAGCTCTCTGTCCGCGCCGGCAGGACGATTTCTCACGGGCGCCGCGACGCGGAGCACTCAGGCGCTTGTTCTGTGGCAGCCATCCGGACATCCGGGCAAACAGGACACACAGGGAGGATGAGCAGGTAAGCGAAGGCTCCGGAAAGAAGGGCTGGCTGCGCACGCAATCTCTGGACGTGGCGGTGGAAGCGGAGGACGGCGGCGGCCAGGAACGGAGAGGCCGGGGGGATTGGGAGCAGAGAGAGGAAGCGGTAGGACAGAGCGGACCCACTGGAGGACGCGGGCCAGAGGGTGTCCCTGAGAGGTGACCGTAGGAGGGTGGTCACAGCCAAGGGGCGCTGCAGCCCGAGGCCCGGCCCTCCAAGCCCAGGCCCGCTCGAGGCTCGGGCGACCAGCTTGTCATCAACCCCTGCGCCTGCCCGCCAATCCGCAGCTCCGCAGCCTCCAGCTCCGCTCCAGCTGCGTCACAACGTGACCCCTGTGACCTCACGCTCCCCACGCCGACCCACACTCCTGTTATTGCATGGGGAATGTCCCCCTCTCGCTGTCCCGTGCCCGGAGAACCGACCCCGCTATGACCTTGTGTCCTTCCGGCCCTTTCCCTGTCACCTCGCCCGCCTCCACTGGTCCAGCGGGGCCACATGGCCCCAGTTTTCAGGAGGAAATAATTGAGGCTCATTCCCAGGGCGCTGGGTGACTGGGCCCAGGAGCCAAGCAGAAAGGCTTCACGGAAACACTGGGCGGGGAGGGGTCGGAGACTTGCGGCCGTCCTGCTGTCCTGATTCCGCCACCAGCATTTGCCCCCACGCCTTTGAAGCACTTTCCCGGCCATGCCCATGAGTTGGGAGGGTGACAGTAAATAAGCCTCCACCACAGCTGTGAGGAGTGGTAACCAGGGAAACTGAGCCCCCAGGTGCGCGCTGGGCTCTGGGGAGGCGCAGCCTGGGGGCTTGGATGTGGGGAGGAGAGGCTCTGAGGGCTGGGCTCCAAATCTGAGGATCTGGGCAACAGTTCTTCCCCCAGAGGAGTCAAGTATTTTTTTAAATACTTGATTCTGCTGGTGAGCATCCTGGATGGAATTAACATGCCACCTGGGAAGAAAAATTGATCAAAGTCCCACGTGCAAAAAAAAAAAAAAAGTGTAGTTATTCTGTATGACAATTTCATTTGATTATCCTAAAAAATAACGAATTGGTGGCACTGATACAGTGAGTGTTAATAGGGTGTTATTTTTAATTATCAACATGATAAAACATATTTTTCACAACCTATTAAAGTCTTACTAATTGTCATTTTCTTACATAAAAGTACATCTTTAATTCCTATGTTACTTACAGCATTTTAATCTCAACTACTGCAAAATTTGCCTGTTGATGGGCAATTGCACAGTACTTTATAAATAGTTAAATCAAACAACATTTGAATTTTTAAAATAGCATTAACTCGAGGGGGGAGGGTGGCAAGGGCAATATACGTAACCTTAACATTTGTACCCCCATGATATGCTGAAATTTAAAAAATGGCATTCACTTTTGTCTATCTTGCCATGACTTGAGTGACGGATGACTAAGATGGCAAAGCTATCAAGAGTTTTTAAATAGCAACCTTGACCAAACAGAATTAATTACATTTTTCCTACCCAGAATTCCATGTAAAGCCAATCCCTCCTGAAGATGTAACAAGAACCTCCCAATCCAACCATATGATTTCACTCAAGAATCCATTTCTGGGGATCTCAAAATGAATCCAACAATGAAAAGCTGTATCAATTGCAGAGTTGTTAAGGAAAGAAAAAAAAAAGTTCAACTATTCTTGAGCCAGTTTAAGAATTTGTTTAATGTTTGACCATCTTTGACTAGGGGGAGAATTTTAAAAGCCAGTCACAGTGGTGCATGTATGAAGTCCCAGCGACTTGGGAGGCTTAGACAGGGGGATCACTTGATCCCAGTAGTTAAAAGCTTGCAGTGCATCATAGCCACTGTAATCTAGACTGGGCAGCATAGTAAAAGACTCTGTCTCTTAAAAGAAATTTACAAAGCCCATAAAACATTTGTTTGAACAAAAATCTATCAATAAATAACAATTAGGTTTCATTGTGAATCATTGTTATTAAAATTTCCATTTCAATCAATATACATCGACTTATGGTTTTGATGGTGTTTTATTATCTCCATAATGCAGAGAAAAGTAGCTTAGGCCCATTTTAAATGAGGCCTTGACCTTGTAGCTTTACCTGGCTTCATGTCCTTATAAATCATAGAAGAGCAAGCCTAAGCTTTCCTAGCATTGCAACAAAATACCTCAAAAGAGAGCAAATAAATGAGTGTTTTAATACATAAATTATAAGATCTTAGCTAGCTGATGTTTTTTCATCATTTTATTAGCTTCCTTTTGTTTTATTTTTCTGAAAAACTTATATAATTAGGGTATAAGTGCTTCCCAGTCATGAAATTGGACCACTGGATACAAAAAGAAAATGTTAAATGCTTCTGGAAATCATTAGAATGAGGCAAATATAAAATATTCTCATTAGTTATTTCCAAAATAATCAGGTAATGTATTATTTAATAAGATGATAATGAAAGAGTATGGATATGCAAGGAAAGATTTTTGAGTAAATATTTTCCCTTAATTTTGGGGGGGAAGGGATGTTTATTTTAGTATTTCTCAATAAGTTGAAAAACATTTTATTTTAAACTTAATGTAGTAATTACAAGTTATACATGGTGTCCTTGTGGGGCTTTGCTTTGCCGAATCATGTTAGACTTAATAAAAAAGATTGAAAAGCACTATTCTATCAAGATACTGAGACATGTCTCCATAATCACTGCAGATGCCTTGAAAAAGTTCTTACACAGTTGTTTGCAAATTTCTGAGAGTTACAGAAAGAAGTTGCCTTCTGGCATTGTTAGAAATCTAATAATTTCTACTATGAAAACATCAAATTCAAGTAATATGAGAGGTAATAACATAAACTATGTAAAATGATAGGGAAAATGAAGTTTTGGCTAGAATATTATAAAACAATAAGATGCATAGAAATTTTTTTCTATGATTCTCCAAAATAAAATATTAAAAATAGTATTGATACTGAATGTGTTTATCCATCTTCTTTATTTACAAGAACAAAGACCATATGATTCTCTCAATTGCCACAGAAAAAGCATTTGATAAAATACAGTGCACTTTTATGATAAAAACCCTTAACAAAATAGGCATAGATGGGACATTCTTTAAAATTATTAAGGCCATATATGAAAAACCCACAGCCAATATCATACTGAATGGAGAAAAATTGAAAGCATTCCCACTTAGAAATAGAACCAGACAAGGTTGCTCACTATCTCCACTTCTATTCAATGTAGTGCTGGAAGTCCTTGCCAGAGAAATCAGACAAGAGAAGGAAATTAAGGGTGTCCAAATGGGGGCATAAGGGGTCAAACTCTCACTCTTTTCTAGTGATATGCTATTATACATAGAAAATCCCAAGGATTCAACCAAGAGACTCCTGAAATTGATCAACGAATTCGGTAAAGTCTCAAGAGACAAAATTAATACACACAAGTCAGTGGTATTAATATACGCCAATAACAGTTAAGCCAAAAGTCAAACCAAAGATGTCACACCTTTCACAATAACATCAAAGAAAATTAAATATTTAGGAATATTTCTAACGAAGGAGGTGAGAGATATTTATAGGGAGAACTATGAAACACTGAGAAAATGTAGAGGATGTGCACAGATGGAAATTCCTACCATGCTCATGGATTGGTGGAGTCAATATTGTTAAAATGTCCATTCTACCTAAAGTGATCTATAGAATTAATGCAATCCCTATCAAAATTCCACCATCATTATTTACAGATAAAGAAAAAATAATTCTACGCTTCATCTGGAACCAGAGAAGACCTTGTATAGCCAAAGCAATCTTAAGTATAAAGAACAAATTGGGAAGCATCGCTCTACCAGACCTCAAACTTTACTACAAAGCTATAGTAACCAAAACAGCACGGTGATGGCACAAGAACAGAGATATAGACCTTTGGAAAAGGATGGAGATCTCAGATATAAAACCATCCTCATATCGTCATCTAATCTTTGAAAAAGCAGACAGAAGCATATATTGGGTAAAAGAATCTCTATTCAATAAGTGGTGCTGAGAAAACTGGATATCCACATGTAGAAGATTAAAATTGGATCCCCACCTCTCACCTCTCACAAAAATCAACTCATGTTGGATAACAGACTTAAACCTAAGGCATGAAACCTTAAGAATTCTGGAAGAAAATGTAGGGAAGGCTCTTTTAGACATCGGCCTAGGTAAAGGATTTATGAAGAAGACCCCCAAAGCAATCAAAGCAGCAAAAAAATAAACAAATTGGATCTAATAAAATAAAAAAGCTTCTGCACAGCCAAGGAAACTGTCATTAGGCAAATAGACAACGTACAAAATGGGAGAAAATATTTGCTTTCTATACATCCAATAAAGGGCTGATAACAAGAATCTATATAGAACTTAAAAAAATCAACAAGGAAAAATCAAACAACCCCATCAATAAAATAGAAAGACATGAACAGAAACTTCTCAAAAGAAGATAGAATAATGACCAGCAAACATATAAAAAAACGCTCATCATCTCTAATCATCAGAGAAATGCAAATCAAAACCACAATGAGATATCACTTATTGCCAGTGAGAATGGCCTTTATCAAAAGTCCCAAAACAATAAATGTTGGTTGTGTATGCAGAGAGATAGGAACACTCATACACTGCTGGTGGGAGTGCAACCTCTGTGGAAAGCAATATGGAGATATCTCAAAGAGATACAGGTAGATCTACCATTTGATTCAGCAATCCCATTACTG